ATTCATCAAGGTTCCGCCATTAGTTATAATAGAATATGATTTTTCTGTTGAATACAATTATAATTATAGTGATACATGTGTGCAACCTAAGCCAGGACCTTGGTTTGGTTTATATAAATATTTAACCCTAACTTTAAACATGAATATGTTGATTTACCTTGGCTATGCGATCAGTTTTTATGTTGTGGAGGATTAGGAGAGGTTAGTTTTGCCTCTTTTTTTCATTTGCAAGCGACTCTTGTTCTTGTCTTGTCCCTCACCATCAAATAATTCTTCCTTTACTTTATATGAACTATAATGGAGTAATGGTGAAGTCATACATAACTTAAAATAAAAGTTGAAGAGGATTCCAGAAATTAAAGAAAAGTATACTAGATAAGATAACCCCCCTTCGCTAATAGTGGGTGGATCATGACGTTTTCTGTTACGATTTCATGGGATTTCATTCGTTCATAAATTAATCATAATCCAACCCACAAACCACTGGAATTGTGTTGTGCCAATCCTAAACCATAACTAACTAAGCTGTCTTTTGATCTGCTCGTCTGTTTCCATGGCTCCACACCTGTTTTTTTGTCAATAATGGATAATGTGATATCTCATCATAATATTAAACTTTGGAAATAATTCTCGATAATAATAAATTTAGTTACTAAACTATGTTGATTAATAATCCCTTATGCAAAGTCTCATTTTTTAATGCCGATGCTAAAATAGGCTTGGCGGGCCCAGTAGAAGTATTGGGCCTTGTTTTGGATTTGGGTCCTAGAGGCTAAGGTTAAGAAAGTTGTGGGCGTTCCAATCTCTATCACTGTCATGTTTGTGGTCGCCGCGTTAGGTGGCGGGCCACAACTGCCAAACCTTGATGCTACAACTTATTGGTAATAACCAATAAGCTCCTTTCATGCATATTGCTCACGGAATCAACCTACTTTTATCCTGGACCATCCACCCCAACAAAATCTTTTAAACAAAGAAAATCTTTCATATGCTCTTAAGACATCTCAAATGTTTTTAACCCTATTTCAATTCATACAAATACACACATACGCCAAAATATATAGTTGTTATTGTACCATGAAGTCGCCTACATAACCTACATCTTAGAGTAAAGTACCTTTCTTAACAAGAAACACTTGAATTATTTTAGAGGTCAATCCCAGATCTTCATACACATGCCTCATTCGAAGTAAACTACTTCAAGGTCTATAGATAGACTCCAAACCTAGAGAGACTGTGACCAACAGTGAATGAATGTTCTGACATAATAAAGTTACAAAATATAATTGAGTGGAACCAGCCATGGTTATAAAGGTGAAAGGTAACGTGCAACTATGCAAGGAGGATCTAGTTTATACAGTAGTTTTAAGTGATGACAGTAGAACTGTTATTACCCAAATGAATTGCTTTTGTCTTGTCCCTAATGTCTCTAACTAATCACTTTTATTCCGTTAGGATATTCGGCTTGGTGTTCTATCCCAACCATAATAACCTCCCATAAAACCACAACCATTCACTCACCTAATTATACATGTATATAATTAACAGCCATTGAATATTAGGTTTTAGATGAGCATTTAATTTCACCTTAGCCTTACCCGTGGCCACGAAAATTCGGCACCCACCATAACACACATATTCAGATCTAGAGAGAGAGAGAGAGAGAGAGTGAGGGGCCATAGAGAGAAAGGAGAGTGTGATGGAGCTGAAAAGCGATGGCCCCTTGCCAATTTTGAAAAGTACCATGATTTTGGATTTACTCTGTATTACAGACAGGAAATATATGATAATTTGTAATCAAGTCTCTGTCAGGGACAGCATTGACACCACCATCAAACGTGTACAGGAGTGATGTACAACCCCCATACGTAGCCTACTTCCTCATCGTAAATATTACAAACTTATTATTTTGCCTCTCACACACTCAAATTATTATTCTTTTCTTAATTCTTCAGAAAAAAACATCCTATGTTCATTATGGGTCACAAATCATGTTTTGGATGCATGTAAGCCTGAAATTTCAAGTTTTCTCTCTGGGATATTTTTTGCCCCTCGTTTATCTGTTTGATTTGATGAATATCTGTACTTCTCCAACATAACACACTTATTATAATCGGGGTTGTACTTCAAAAAGTATTATTTTAGGAGCAATCACTAGATGAAAAAGAAAAAAAAAACATTTCTCACTTGACAAACGTTTTTCTTTCTCTCTTTTTTTTAATTTTAAATATATAATGTAGTACATAGACGTTACATTTGAATTTATTTTAGTGTAAATATTTGTTTTTAATCCTATGATATTTTTCAATCAGATTTAATATTTTCAAATTGACTTAAGCTCTGTTGTCCTATCTCACACCCATTAAAAGATATTATACATATATAATTTAAATATTTGATATCTCCTAACTATTTTTTAATCCTTATCATAAATATAGTTAGTTTAAATTTTAAAAATAAAAAATATTAATTAATATAATTAAAGGAATTTTAAATTAAGATCATTACAATTTTTAGGTACATAATTTAATTAAATAATATTTCTTATTAACACATATAAGCTAATTATATATTTTATTTTTATTCTTTATTCAATAATTTACTTGCAATATTGATTTTATACTAGGAGTAATTATAATTTTCTTAAATGGTTATAATTTATTTTTTATATATTAGTTTTGATGTTATAATTTTAAATGATTGATGAATAATTTAATTTATAATGTAATAAACAAAGATTTTATCTCTAAAGACAAAAATAATAAAATGTATTTTATACTTTTAAAAATACTAATTATAATATATTAAATTTATATTAAGTAACATAGAAAACAAATCACTCTTCTTGTTTTTATCTTCACATAATATAAATAATTTTATCCAAAATATATTAATATATTTTATCAAAAATCATTTTTTACATGTATATAATAAAACATAATTATTATTCTAAAAAATAATATAAAATTTATTTTTCATAATATATTAATAACTATAAGTGATTATTGATATATAAAAATATTAAGTTTATTACTTAACTGGATAACGTACTTTAAAATAACTTAACTATTTTATTGCATATTTTATTACTGATCTTTCATATTTTTGTAAATTTTGCTACTAACTTGTTATTTTTATAAATTTCATCATTTTAGTTTGAAAAAATATATATTTTATCTTTTTCGTTAATTAGCGTTCAAATTATTAAGCTTATGTTAATATGACTAGTAAAGTGACTTGGAGTTGAAAGTGAAATATATACTATATTAAAATTACTCATTTTACGATTGACCTTTCTATCTTTGTGAGTTTTATTACTGAGTTCTTGATTTTGCGAATTTTATCATTAAACTTCTAATTTTGCGTTAATCATTTCGTTTTTTTAAACTATACAAAAGGATATAAGTTAACTTAAATAAAAATATTTCATGCTAAATTGATTAGAAATTATGACATAATATTTTTACTCTTATAAGTATTAAACAATTTACTTTATCAAAATAATTTCTGTGACACATGTAGACTGTAGCAAATAGTTAAATAATATACCTATGCATTTTCGATAAAGATTCACGTAAACTAAAAAAACCAAAGAGTATATTGTTTAGTCTAAATTTTGTGCACGGTCATGAACATGGTATGCAGGCATAGTTGGTGGTTTATGTGATCTATAGAAAGAGGAAAAACTGGGAGACGGCCGTAGATAAAGAGCCGAAGAGATTGGAAACTTGAAAATTGAGAGAGGCGCCTCCCCAAAAATATTCTCATTCTGTGTTGGGACCTGTCCATTTGCCTGCACCAGCATTCAATGCTTTTTGGCAATGCACATGCAAAGAGGGGGTCTCATGCTCATGCTCATCTTTCTTTCACCTTGTTCCAGCCCCAATCAAAAACACCAAAAGCTAAAGTTTTTTAACTACACCACCGAGTGCTCCATCCTTGTGGTAAAAACTTTCTGCAGATAAGGTTTTGTCATATCAATGGGGTCAATGGGGTCAGCGTATGTAGCATTCCACACACTTTTTTTTTTTTTTTGGCCTTTTTAACTTTGTCTCTTTTAGCTGTTATCATGTCACGTGAACCTCTTGTAGCGATGCCTTCTCATTTCTTTCTAAGCCCTCCATTCACTTACTTCTTCCTTCTCCTTCTAATTTTACCTTTTCAAATGTTATTGGATAGGTTTGCGTTTTATATTTTCCAATTATTCTTAGACTTATATGTATTTTTAATTCATTCATTAATTCCACACCTTTTGCTAAGTGTAGCTCAATTTGACAGGACTTATGTTTGATTTCAGCTAAACATGTTTAGGAAAGGAGTATGGTAAACTTTCGCAACTCCAAACATTGAAACTTATATCATTCTCACTCCAACATGGATCACTCTATTTATAGAAGTTGTGAAACAATGTCATGTTAATATTTTCAATATATATACATATATATATATATAGAGAGAGAGAGAGAGAGACAGAGAGAGAGAGAGAGTTTAGTATATATTAACAACTTAATTGACATAGGTTGAGATAAAAATTAAACACTCTCACATGTTTTGGGAACTATACATATAGAGGATAAACCATGTCTTATTATTTTTATGAATTATAAAAGTTTGCGGAATCAGTAATAATTATAATAAAAAACGAAATTAGTTTGGTTAGGAAATAGTAATTAAAATAAGATACAAATACATAATTTTGTATTCATTTAATTTAGTAATACAAAACAAAAATTCTTAGTGAGTAGAAGATCATGGTATGCATTGGAGTACTATATGATGATATAAACGTATCTCTGCCGTCTTCGGTTCTTAGAAGAGTAGCGCATAGGAACTATTCGCCATTTCCTTTCTCTCTCTATAAATCGTCTTCCACCTTTTGTATTGGACAAAAGGAAAACCGTTTTAGTTTGCATATTACATTGACTCCTTTCTCTCTCTCCCTTGGATTTCTTTGTAGCTTGGTTTGTCGGTGTGTGCGTGTTTTTATGTGAGCTTCCGTCATGATTCCAGCCTATCGCCACTCAGTATCTTCTGTGATTCCTCTAGATCTTAATGAAGATGAAAACCATGTGAACTTCACTCCAACTCATCATGCCTACTCTTCTTTTTCTTCTCTATCATCTTCAAATCATGTTCCCTTCAACCCTCCAGATCAAGAAGCGGGATCACACTACTGGGAACCAACAAAGCACTTACCAATTCATCAAGAGGTGACACATAGTTTTACTAGAAGAGATTCATATATATATATATATATATATATATGTATAAACCCCTTATAGTCTTTGTGATCGCTATGATATTTTGTTATGTATCTCTTCATAATTTTGATCATGCGAACTTTATTAGGCTGAGAAGATTAACCCTACCATGGGATCATGGGATCACTCGGTGGCAGAAAGTGAGCTCAAGGTGACAGTTTGGAAGAAAAAAGAGAGGAGTGAAGATCATGAAGCAGCTGCTGAGGATGGTTCGGTGAAGTGGATGACTTCAAAGATGAGAATGATGCGGAAGATGATGACGATGCCGGATCAAACTGGTGCATATATAGAAGAGAATACTATGCACAAGTTTGAAGATCAGAAACAACCATTGTCGCCGCTTGGAGCTGATAACAGTAGCAGCAACAACTATTCAAACCACAGTAATAACACTGTTAGGGTTTGTGCTGATTGCCACACCACCAAGACCCCTCTGTGGAGGAGTGGACCAAGAGGCCCCAAGGTACACCTTATCTTATTAAAACACCAATCCCAATAATGGATCCGTACTTAAAAATTTTCGTACTCACCGAGCTCGATCCTTTTCATCAATTTTTAGTTTAATCAACACTACACAACAAATCAATTCAGCTCTTTACTTTTAAGGCTTGTCTATACTCTATAAGTATAATTAACTAGAATATTGTTATCATTATATTAATTTATTTTTTGTGCGACAGTCACTATGCAATGCCTGTGGAATTCGACAAAGGAAGGCGAGACGAGCCATGGCAGCTGCGGCATCGGGAAATGGAAAAGTAATTGTGGAAGCTGAGAAATCTGTGAAGGGAAACAAGTTGCAGAAGAAAGAGAAGAAGACAAGAATTGAGGGTGCACCACAGATGAAAAAGAAGCGCAAGCATGGAGTTGGAGCAAAGGCATCTCAAAGCAGAAACAAATTTGGTTTTGAGGATTTGACATTACGCCTAAGAAAGAGCTTGGCTATGCATCAAGTTTTCCCTCAGGACGAGAAGGAGGCTGCGATCCTTCTCATGGCTTTATCTTATGGCCTTGTTCATGGATGAACTTCAATAATTGATTTCCATGGCTTCATTTCAGAACGTTATTAATTAATCAATTAACTAGGTTTCTTGTATTGCTGTCTTATGACTAGCTAGTTTTTTACTATTGTGTGAGATCAACGGTTTATATATGTGCGGGAAGAGGATGTAATGCAGTCAGTTAGTTAGAAAATGGGAGGGAAAATAAAGTTACATGGTTGTGGGTGATCTTATGTACTTCATAATTAATATAATGGTTTATTTGAACAAGTTGACGACCAAAAAGTGTGGGTCTCTTCTTGATGTATGTCTCGTTATCTCAACAAGTTCAATAAAAGTTACAAGGGTTTTTGTCTATGGTCATCAACATGTCATCATTACCCTACTTTTCTGCTAATCTAACTTTTAATTATCGCAGGTATTTAGCAGAAAATGACCTGGCTATATATTGATAATTTTGAATGCATGCTCTTAATTAGTGTAATCAAGCTATCTAAAGTAGTCAGAAGAATACATATACTTAGTATGAGTGTTAGATTCATTTATTTAATCAATTGGAAGCTCCATATTTAGAGAGAAGTTAAGCAGAATGTTATGGAAGTAGGCATTTATATGTGTGAAGTTTCAGATGAGAAAGCAACAGGACTACTTTATTTCTTTGTTTCCCAGGTTGGCTGGGTCCTTTATAGAGGCTTTCCCCACGGCTCACTAAAAAGTTATTAATTATTCCACATTGACCTGATGAGCTTCTCAATCATGACAGTGATGATTCATGTCTGGGAAGCAGCTTTTTGTGCCTTGGGAGACCTCTTTGTGGGATGTGCCCTTGATTTGGACTTTGTCTGCTTCATAATTAAAGTTTTAGCCTATGAGGAGCTTCCCATGACTCTTCAGAGACACAAACAGCATGCAAAGAAGAGTGGCCACATTGCATCAGACATAGGAAGCCGTCTTTGCTAACATGCTCATTTTGTGATTTGCCTTTGTTGTATGCAAACCTTATCAGATTAGAATTCAGTGTTCTTTTTGTCATCCCAAGAAAAAACAGGCTAGCTATAGTGTTGAAAAAAATTTATTTCAAGAGTTGTCTGATTATATTAGTAAAACATGAAAGGTGTTCTCATATCAATGGATAATATATATATATATATATATATATATATATATATATATATATATATATATATATTGATAATACTTTTTATAAGATATATCCATTTGGTAACTAATAATAGTTATATAATACCAAACTTTCTTATATTAAATTTTTGTAATTGAGTTGTGAAGTAAATATATATTATAATAGAAATGTTAAAACATCAATGCTTTGGAAAGAGTTTGATTTTGTACGTATTAGCAAATTATATATACAATGAGTTTTTCTTCTTCTTTTTTGGTATTCTAGATATAATAGTTAATGCACCCAAAATAAAAATTTTATTTATTTATTTAAAATTATAACTTTTTTTTACAGGTTTGGGTAAAAAATTTTATTTGCTTTTTTTTTTAAATAACACTCTAAGGAAAAATATAATTAATGAACTATTATACGTGTGTTTGTATGTGTTAATGTATTTTGCAATAAAATACTGTTATTTTTTTTTTTTAAGTATTTTAGCTTACACCTTTTTAGGATATTTTTTAATAAATTCAATGTTTAACTAACTCACTCATTAAAAGATAAGTGAGAATATTAAGAAAAACAAAATCTAAACGACATAGTTTATTGTTTGGTACCCATTTTTAAAAATCGTGTGTATTAATTTGATCTAACTCAAGCAGTGATGACTGAGTTTTTTTTTTTTTTTTCCTTTCTTTTTTAAAAATGGGTACCAATTTACTAAACGATAGATTCCGTTAAGATTGGGAATCGGGACGATTTATGATTGGGCCGTATGATGGCCCATTTTGGGCATCGATATTTCCTTTTGTTCGGTAATGGGCCCTAAATAAAAAGTCAAAGTCCAACATGAATTAATTGTGGGAAGAGAACAAGAGAAGAGACAAAGGAAAATGGCGTAGCAATGGCTCGTGATGTGTGAAGGTCAAGAACGTGAACATCTCAGGTTTGTTCTGTAGCACATCGCAGTGCAGAGTAATAATCATTCTGTTTGAAGAAATGACAATGGGTGAGACTCCCCCACCTGCACCTCCACCTTTGCCTCCAACTGGGTTGCTCATGAAGCGATGCAAGTTCATTTGGCGCCTTCTGTTGCTCTCTAACCTCGCGCTTGGAGGTCTCTTTTTGTCCCTTTCTGCATCCATCATTATGCTTCCTTCCTTTTCTTTTCTTTTTTTATTGTCAATTATTGGTGCTTGTTATTCTTCTCGTCGGTTAGATTGCCTTCTTCAGTGTTTACCTTTCAGGTGTTCGACACATTGCTTCACATAACTAACTTACTTTTTTTTTCAAGCAAGATTCCTTCATGCCACGTGCACTTTTCCTTGCACATGCACTTGCACGTGCTTTACTTTCTTCAATTCCATGCATTATTGATACTCGAAAGGGAAAGTTTTGTCGCTCTTATTAATCTTACCTGACTCAAGTAGAATTCTACGGTGGAGGATGTTTGTGTTATTTAGCAAAAAAAAAAAAAAGTCCATAGGAAAATATAGGGTAATAAATAACATTCAAACAATTCGAAAGACATTTTTGGTTAAGGTGTTTTGTTGACTGGTTTGATTACTGTAGAGAGCAATTTGAGTGTGTTGTTCATATAGAGATGACGATATTCGTGATAGACTACTTTACTATGCTGAATACTAGTGTATGTTTGCTTTGGGTTATCATAATTTTGTTCTTATTGGTTATGATGGTTGGCTGTACTGGGAAATGCTACTTATTGTCTTTGATATTATTATCGATATTAAGGTATGAATGTTATACCGGGAGTGTTTCTTTGTTCGGGTGGCATTTAAGAAAGGAGCTTCTTAAATCCAAAATTCGTGAAGTTGAATTAGACTCTATTTGGGGTGTTTGTTGGAGGAAGGGTTTAAGGGCAATAATGGCGCATCAAATAGGACATTCTTTTCTATAAGATTGTGTTTTATAATTTAAAAAGGATTATATGAAAATGATCAGTGTCACAGATAGTATTCAGGGTTATCCTTGTATTAATCGCATGATCTTGTAGGTACAAAAATCATTTGTTTGATATTAAGGGAAAAAAGAATCAGATGTATACTTTAGCATTAGGAATTTGACTCCTTTAAAGTGAGAGAAATACACTTGTAAGGCTAAGTGTAATAATTAATCTTAGATTTTATTAAATGTTTATTTTATTTTATCAAAATTTAAACTGTTGATGTTCTAATTAACAGTTTTAATTTGTCAAAAAGTCACATCTTAGCATGTTCCTTTTGGCTTTCATTTAGAGGATCATTTAAAATATACTGATCAGTATTTTCTTTTTTATTTTTTTTACTCTCCATGACATTTGATTGCAGCTTTTCTATTTGCAAGTGCAAAACGAAGAGATTCCGTGGAGATTACTAGAAGAACAGCGCTAAAATCGCACAAGGGCAAAGCTAGTGTTGAAGTTCCTCCTGAACCCATCACAAGCTCAATTGATTTAAATTGTGATGATTTCTTTGTGCCTGTCACAACACCTGTGCAAATGCGGGCTCCTATCCCTGAAGAACAACAACGTGAAATTTTCCAGTGGATGCTAGAAGAGAAAAGAAAACTGAAACCTAAGAACCCTGTAGAGAGAAAACAGATTGATGAAGAAAAAGGCCATTCTTAAGCAGTTCCTGCGAGCAAAGTCAATACCAAAGTTTTAACTTTCACTCTCGTGCTCAAACATTACCACATTACTGATAGATTAAATAGTTTCAATGCAACTGATAGGCTTTGAATTTGACAACTCTTTCCAGTTCCATTTTTTTTGCTGGATAGAAATGAGTTAATAGCATTGCATTTCCTAGAGTTTTAGAAAAACAGGCATCCTGTCAAATTTAACCTAATGGAAGTCATGTACGCATGCCAGCTAAGAAGTTGGCTGAGGATAAGTCCAGCCTTCGTCTCATTTACATCAAACACAGGATATTATGCAAGAATATTATTGAATTGGTACATCAACAACTTTCATTGAAAATGGGGAACTGTTATACCCTACTATCGGGTCTCTACTTGTCAATTGTATTCATTCTCTTAATTATGGACCTGTATGAATGAGCTACTTGCCAGTTATTACACTAATGAATGAATTCTATGAAATGTGGGGGACGCAAGGAGTAAATGCAGAAGACATGAGAGATGATAGTGATATGAGCAGCAGAATGTTTTGTGTGACAAACTGGTCACATGAAAACGTAAATCACTGATATCCTTCGAGTGGGACTGTGAGCATTATAATTTATGGCCGTTTCGGGGCTACATGCTTTCAGGTGACTATTATGGTCCCCAAATACACTGCTGCTACTTCAGTTTATAGCCGTTGTTATTCCAATACTCTTACTGCTGAATGAGTGATAAATTTTTTATATAACAAATATTTTTATGGTTGCCACTAGCAGTTGTTAACTGACCATGAAATGCATTTAGAAAAAGACATGCTTATGGCAGCATAACACCTTCATGGTAGCTGACGACAGTAGAATTAATTGGTGCCTCTTGACTGGGCCAGTACTCACATTACCCTGAGTATCTTACTCGGCTTCGTGGCTGTTGGATTTGGGCAAAAGTTATGGGAATAAACTCATTTAATAACGTAAAAGCTTCCCTTGCTACCTTTTTCCTTCTGTATTTAGCATATTTAGGTTCGAAATCCAAACTGCCAAGCTGGATTTTGCTTGACCACTCTTCCAAATTCGGAATCTAGAGAAGGGGGTGGCCACCATATACCGCTCTTGTCTTACTGAATTTTCTCTTGCAATGCCTGGACCATCTATATCTTACGTACTAATTGTCATGTATCAAAGCCTGTCAGTCATCACATGGTTTTTCTTCTCTGTTCATGCATGATTCGAGTACTACATGGATCTTTTGAAATTCTCCTCACACCAAGTTGAAAGTAAAATAAAATTTCATTAATAAATAATAAAAGAACGTAAAAAGGTGAAAAATAAGAAAATATGTAAAAATATAAAATGTTTTTTATTCAATATAATTAGTTTTAATATTTATTAGAAAAATTTATATGAATTTTATATATATATATATATATATATATATATTTAATGATAATTAAATTAAAAGATATAATTATCGTTATATAAGTAAATATATTTAATAAGAAGGGATCAAAGTAATAAATATATAAAAAATAAATAAAAATAACTTTGGAAACATGGTTTCCTTTGACATAGAGAACATCAAACCACTACCCTTACTTACTTCCACGGCTGCGTTACCGTAAAATGTCAACTGTAACAAAATGTGGTAAATTCATTATGTCTTTTGCATTATACCCTTTGCGTCCCCCACATTTCCTAGATTTCATTCATTAGGGAAAAAGAGAATAAAATCAGTGACAAAGGAAACATTTCTTGTAAGTTTAACTTTGAATTCTACCATACACACCGATTAGTTGGTCTAGTGATGAATCAAGATTTAGATACTCTCCGTACCAATTCCAACCATTGATTTTACATCACTGCAAGGTTAATATAGTGCTCGACAGGCATAAAAGTTGAAGAGGGATTGATAAAAGATTGAAATAATTACTTGAAAATATGAATTAAAATTTATATTCGATACAAAATAGAACACGTGTCACAATTAGAATCTTAATAAATTTAAAATATTTGACAACTATAAAAATCCTAATAAAAATTAGATAATCTGTAACAAGAGATTATGAAATAAAAAGAAAGATAATATCAATATTTTTTTCTTATATTGGTGTATACAAATCTCTCATCTAATTTAATGAGATATGTAAAAAATATTTTATTTTAAACAATATTTATTAGAATATGAGCTGGTCCACAAATTTTCCTTTCATTATTTTTTTATAAGAAATTATCAAATTTTACATGTTTTGTTGGATTATATTATATCATATTGCGAGCAATATCACATGTTACCTTATTGATATAATATAATTTAACATATATAAATAAATATTTAAGAAAATTCTTAACTATAAATCTTTATAAATTCAAGTGTAAAAAAATCTTTAAATTTAATTTTTATAATTTTTTTATGTACTAAACTTACCACCAACAAATAAAATAATTAAATATTAATAATCTGTTTTCTAATAATGGAATCGAATCATCATCCTTGTATATTTATTTGATGATAATATTTTTTTAATAATAATCTTTTTTTCCGTATTTAAATTTAAATATCTTAAAATAAATATAACTAGTACCCTCTAATATTCTTGTTACAGTTTTCTTACAAATAATATATTTTATAATGAAAATCCAATTAAGAAACATGTACCTTAACAGTTAAAATAACTAATTGAATCTTATGAAAATAAATATTACGAGTCTTACATCATTTATAAAAATGTTTTTACTTTAATTTCTTAATTTTTTATAGTAAGTAATAATATGTGAGAAGTGTTTTATCAATTGGTATTAATTAACTTTTTTTTTTACTCATGTTCAATCGGAGTTCAAGTTTGTTGAAATGTGTAGAACATATTTCATAAATATCATAGAAAGCGTCGGACACTAACATTATTTTAATTATTTAAGTACTTTTGGATTTACTTGTATGTTCGTGTATTTATTCACTAATAATAAAAAAAAAAAAAAGTAGCAATTTTCTAACATCTTTACGGCATCGTGGCACTACTGACAGTACGTAAATGTAAAGATGGGTGATACGAGAAGCTCAGCTTTGATTTGGTTTCTCCATTTTGTAGACAAATTCTGTTACAAATACGCCCCGATTCTGCTCTTTTCGCTACTCACTGCCATTTTCTAAGATGCAGCAGCATGTTGAAATAAACGACTGCAACAAAGTAGATAACGTAACTACAAACTTGATAGTATTACTGTGAAATTTGATTTTACTTCGATTCTTGAAAACTACCAGTTTTAACTAATTTTTAACTTATGGGAGTTCTTTTATTTAGGTTAGTAAAAGATATTTTTCAATCAAAGACGTAAGAGGTGATAAATTTAAATACTAAATATTGAAAATAAATTTAAGAGCATATAAAAATCAATGCTACTTAACTAAACGATTATATATAATTGAAAAAATGTTATTCAATAACAATGGATAAATAAATTATATTTATTAACTTAAAAATAAAAAGTTCTTTTTAATTTTATTCTTAAGAAACTTAAGAACATTAGAATAGACAAAAGTAAAATTAATAGTAAACAATATAAAATGAAAGACTATGTGAATTTAAAAACATGCGAATACATAAAAACTAGAAAAGATGAAATAACGAGGAAATGACTATATAAAAACTCTGATTGAATTACCTTTAAAGAAATACAGAAAGACAAATATATGACGAAACAAAGAAGTGATACACAAATTTAGATTACATATAAATAAATTACCAAAGAAAATACAGAAAGTGGTAATAAAGATCGATGAAAGCGAAAATTCAGATTGCTAAAAATTTCATGATAGCCGTAGACTCATACCAGAAATTTCTGAAGTCAAAATGATCTCCTCTAACCTCCAGCGCTTAGTTCTATTTATAACCTTCTTAACATAACCACTAAAACGGTTAAAAATCACTATCCAATATTCTCATGTGCAGATACAACTGTTTTCTTCAATTTCAATCCCAAAAATCGAATATTTGAACTTCATGATGTCTCTTATCTCCTTCAATTTTAACTTGACACTCGATACTTCAATTTTGTCAATTTTTTACCTCAATATGGTCATCGAATTTCTTCTATCTACTTTTCGATTTATGTATCAATTTTTTCCACCAACAAAATGCCCCTTGAAAGAATAAAACATTGTGCAAATTTTGTATTCTTTCAAAAAGTGTCTATTTCAACTCTTAAATGTTCTGAAGCCATAAAAAGTTGTTTTATTACCAAATGTCAAATCAAGTCATTCCCTTCATTAATATTACTTGATTCTCCATAAAGGCACGTCTTTTCCCCGAAAAATTTGTGTCACGTCTTCATTTCACTTCCTTCCACGTTTGTCGTTTCAACTACCCTTATTTACCCTTTTAAATGCCCAAATCAACTTGCATTATCTTCACTAAAAAACAAAACATTTTATCTTCCTCATCCGTCAACTCTCCTTCGTCTTCAATCTTACACAGCTGTTATGACTACTTCCAAATCTTCTGACCTCCCAACTCCGCCATTGTCGACGATGACTTCAAATTTCATAGAGATAAATGGCCAAAAGTTTGCTCCGGTCCCACGTTTAGAAGAAGCTTCGCAAAAAATCGTTGAAACACAAGTACTTATACCTTATGCAGTTGATAATGTTGATTATGCATTTGGTGGTCCTATTCGTTATTCTGCTAGATCGTCTTCTTCCACTATCTGCCTTCCTGCCAAAAGCAAAGTCATTATTCACAAAACTGAGATAAGGATCAATTTTCTTAACGCCACTTCAAAAGTATATCGAACCAGTCTTCCACATAAAAAATCCTTATATATTAAGTGGTTTGATAGAGTAAAAGTCAAGTTTGGAAACCATTGGAAAGACATCAGGATTTTTTACTTTTTACATTTATCGTCTTTGGTTATACCCATGTTTTTATCTGCAGTCCATTTAAAACTCATTTACCTATTCGATTATGCATAATAGGTTTCGATAAATGAAACTTCAAGATATTATTTTTATAAC